GGGGGGGTCCGCGGATGCGAAGCCGACCCCCCCCAAACTTGGCGTGGGGTTCGGGGCCCTCTGAAGGGCCACGAAAAAAATTGGTATTTAGGAGGGCGAACGTTGCCATGTGGTACGCTTTAGAACTATGATTCAGCTAGTCGAAATTCTAATTTCAAGAGGGGGCCAGAAATCGAATGGGGGGGGGGGGGGGGTCAGGACCCCCCTGACCCCCTCTAAATCCACCACTGCCCACTGCCAAACCCCTTATCCGCCATGGATTGTGAAGATCGTATCTTTAGATCCATGACATTCCCATGTCAGCTTTGTAGTCATTGGTTTGAATCAGATAGAGGACGCCTGTATATAGGCCTATATATATATATACATACATGAAGGCCTATATGAATCTGTATACGTACCCTGTTAACTTGAGGATAATACATGGCTGCTTGATTGTTCCGTCAAACCGTATCCTGTAGATATTTTACCCTGTTCTGTTCCTTATTCTAGTGATTCATTTACTGTGCATAAAATAAACAACGAAACACCTTCATCTGGATACATTTTCACAACTAATAATACTTATACATTGCTCTTTTCAGCCGACGTTTTCTCTTTTATTATTGATAAGATAGTTGAACATGTGTTCGTAATGTGGACAGTGTATACTTATTAACCGTATATACCTGATGTCTCCTTTAAGTAAACAGGACAAACAAATTATATAAATAATATGTGTTAAAGAAACCCATGCTCTACAGTCATGGAACGTGCCTGTAGTTCCGTGTCACATATGTAGAAGAAATACATATGAATGATTTAAGTTTACGTGAAACTCAAATAACGATTCGTGTGTGTGTGTGTGTTGAGATATTCGCCGACCTAAGTCCGCACACAACTGTATACTGCTGTAATAAATGAGACACTAAGAGCCCGCTTGTCACTGTATTATTCATAAGATACATGTAACAGGCATTCAATCATTTCGTCATGCATGCCACATATTGCTACTATGGACTTCACTTCTACAAAATATTTTAATTCCATTAATTGTACTGAAAACACGCTGATCAATCAAAGGAAATATATCTAGTTTGGTATTTTATATATTGATTTTACAAAGATTTAATACAAAGATATATTTAGTTAAACAAAGTTTGGAATTTTAGTAAACACAATAGGCCTACAACCGTACGACACTGCCTGAGTCTAATACTTAATTAGACTAAAAACACTTATTTCCAAACACAATCCTAAGAAAATATATGCATTTTATTTTGGACCTGTGCGTTCTTTTATTTTTGCTTATTGCTATTTAAAATCGCTGAGTTAACATAACACCGTCTTGGTCTTCATAAAATAGAGAATTTTAAGAAACTACAAATGTACTTTTTTACCTTAGTGATTGAATCAATCAAAAGTAGGCCTAAATTACTAACAGACTTTTAATGGGAATCTCTCGTACAGAGGAAAACTGCTGAACTCGTTAATCGATTTGTTCAACCCGTAGGCCCTATGTGTAATCTCTCGCGTTCTGTACGAATAGGAAGGGAAGTTTCCACCAAATAGACCAACCACGGACTGTAGGACTTGCATTATTCGAAAGGTGCGATGTGCGCATGACCGGAATTGTGCACTGCAGGGGTCAAAATAGTACCGGAAGCGTTGTTGACAGCGTTAGGAACACATGATGGAAGCAGAAGACGTGCCGGGGGCGATATTAAACAAGCCATTTGAGCCGACAATGGTGCCGGAGTTGAAACGTTGGTTAAAATGTAGGTTGCCCACACATCAGGCAAAAAAGAAGAGCTGATAAAAAGGTATGTTACAAGATATTTTCTTAAATACACGACCAAAAACAAAACCCTTATGTGGTCATTATGTAATTATGTTCACCTGAGTCATTCATTGGGGAGATAAATTTGTCACCTGGTTCAGGCAATTATCTGATACAATCTCTGAGGTGGGCTAGTGCACTGTACAATAAAATTAGTACAAGCTCACTGTCATTATTAGTGCATCTATCATTCGTTTCTTCATTATCCTTCTGTTGTGTATCCAAGTAGATTTCGGTTAAAAATATGACATGTCAATTTTCTGTTTTGTCATCAGTCTAATATGTATGTATGTAAATAATCACTGTTATAGATGTATTGATGATGACTTTAATAATTATTTTCATGACTATTTTTTACTTGTTTTATAGGTGTAAACTGTACAGTGAGGATAGAGAGAGAAACAAAATATTGGATCCAGACAGTGGAGTTTGGAAGAGAAAATTAGAAGTAGGCCTACCAGATTGAAGTTTGAATCAAGACAGTGGAGAATGGACCAAGCCCTTGAAGGGAATGCCCAAACCGTTTATTTTTTTTAAATATTTGTCTTTGAATAAATACAATTCAAGATTTTGTTTCACAATTTTATTTTGCATAATAAAACCAATGATGTTGCCTTGGAAATATCTTTCCAAGGTACCTTATGATATTTCATGTTTTAAAATGCAATGTTTTAAACATTTTCTAGATATGATCAAGTGCAATGTGATAATAAAAATGTGATATTTGGTAAAATTGTTCTCTTTTTTGTTATTTGCATAAGTAATATACGATTCAATACTCCTTCACAGTCAGGATTAAACCTGGTTTTAGTTTTACTGAGGTCTAAGCAATGGCGATAACAAAACTCTTAAACTAAAGTAAAACTAAAACCAGCTTTAACCTTGCTGTGAAATCAAACCAAAGTTTCACATGACAATTTTCATGCCATTTTTTATACTGAGGTAATGTCAGAGCATAAAAAGTCATGAAAATTTTAAATTCCTCGTAGGTTTCAAGACCGATGAAATATTTACCCATTTCAGGTTTGTTGTGCATAGACTTTATCCTGAAAGTGTGTTTGTCAACTTCCTCATGTGCTTTGGACAGTTATTCCAGCATTTTATGTACTTTTCCTCTGTCACACTATTTCTTCATGCATTTTTTTTTTTTTTTTTTTTGCTCATTGTAATTCCACCTTGTTTCCGAAAGTTCAATTTCTAAACATCAGATTTTCTGTTCCATACTGAAAATAATGTCCTTTTTCCTTAACTGTCGTTAAAAGCGCATCTGAGCCTGCATATGATACAATGCAGTCTGCACATGTATTTGAGAAGCCATTTTCGTCCTCGCTGTTCAACTTCCCAATCGCCGCCAGGTTCACTAAAATTTGTCTCAGAGTTACCTGTAGGCCTATCAACAGTTAAATGTCTAATAAATTTTCTTCGGGGCTTACGAACCTTCGTTTCCTTGAGTGAAAATATAATTGGTCTACCACCCAAATACGATTTATTTCCTCCTTCAAAATGAGCACTACACACAGGGTGATGCTTGGCGGGCTCGAACTTACTAAATTTGCTTTTATTTCCCGCTCGTCCAATATTGTCAATCCATATACCTCTCTCTTTTGGGTCCTTGGGGAAAGCATAAAATGAAAAATTTCGATCTCGCTTCGTATTGTTGAAACAGCCAGGCAAAAAACACATATAACCGCCGAGAGGCATTTTATTTCTTTGTACAGAAATGGCGGCAACGCAAGATGGGTCCCACTTTACCCACAATGCATTGCGCTCAATATCGAAAACGAGACGAATAATGCAAGTCGTATATAGAATGTAGTGCTGTGAGAAAAACTAGTGATTTTTCCCCCAATTTTCCTGACTTTTCTTGTGTGTCGCTAGCGTTAGTTTTGGTGTCAACTAGCAGGCCAATGTGTAAACTACTGCCCATTTTTTTCAGGACCAGGCACAATATTGTCGTGCGCGTGGGACCTCTGGCGGAGGAAGCTACTGACTGTGAGCGGTGCAGTGGTTTGTTTACAAACACGAGGGGTGCACATGTTCAAGTACTGTCGATGTAACGTGACGGAGAGTCCCCCATGACAGAGAGCCCGTTTTCCTTTCATTTCGAGAGGTAAGCTTCGCCCTAAATTTTGGCCCACTTACATGTAGGTTAGGCTAAGCTCAACCATAATAAATAAATGGAGGGCGGACCCTTAGTTTCGTTACACGTGTAAGAAACGTAGCTTTGCAACAGCATATTTTGTGCCACTGGGAGTTACATGTAGGCCTATGTCCGTGTGTCTGCCGTCCATGGGGAAAGGGAAATGTTTTACAAAATTATTCTGTTGATGCAGTTTGCACGCATTTCTTAGTATGGCCTTCAGTGGGACATTATTTGGTGGTTTCTGTCCCGAAGAACTCAAAAGATACATGCGCTGTGACCTCCATATGACGTCAGCCGTGGGCGGCATTTCCATTGTGTTATAATAAGCTTGGGTTTTTTGCTGTGTGCTATTAATAACTAATCGGAATCCGTTAAAACCCGATAGAAGCCATGTTGCTTGAAACTAGTCACCCCATGGCAATATTTCACAACATAAACAGTGACTTGAGGAAACAGTGTCACCTGGATAAACCCCTGAAACCTGTACAAAACGACTAACAAAAAGACAAGTAAGTAATACCAGTGGATCAATCGTGATTCGTAAATGTAACAGGGTGTATCACGGCACAGCCAAATGTACGCTGCTCGCTATACATTGGGTATTATATGAGGTTTGATTTAGAACTGCATGTCAAGTGGTCTTTGGATCTACAAATGTCTACAGGTTAAAATAAGGCGATTTAGATTAATTTATGGCAATATACAGTTTCATTTAAGGCTCCGTTCTTCCACCCTCCCACACTTCGTTGACTACCCCCTCCATATTGCTCATCCCACCCCCATCATTTATAAACTGTCAGTGCTGCAAGGTGAATCACAGTATCGAAGCGTTATTTTGGTAAGCATTAAATTGAAGTTAATCTCGGAGCAAAATGAATGTATAAAACAAATATATTGATAAATTTATGTAAAAAAAAATTAAGATATCCTCTTCCTCTTTCTCTCTAAAATAACATCAAAAGAAAACTAATTTTACTGAAGAGAAATGTAGGGATATGATAATATTAACTAGAAGAAAATGAGAACAGAATTGTCACTGTGAAAGAAACCCTGTACATATGTATATGTATAGGCCTATATCTATATTTACCCAAATCTGCACGCTTATCTTCATGTGCTTCTATATTAATTTTGTTATAAATATGTTTTAGGTGTTAGACGGACAACCATGCAATTGAAAATTGAGAGACAACTCAAAAAATATGTGACTGATTGCGAAAGGGCATTCGAGGAAGTTGAAAAAACAAAGGATGTCGCCGTCAAACGACTGAGGGAGCTGGCGGTCGAATTAGAAGACCAGCAGCGGAAAATGGATATCGTTAAGATCTCGGCTGCATCGTCTGGTGTAGTTGGAGGCGGACTTGTCCTCACGGGCTTTGGGTTGGCTTTCTTTACATTTGGTGCTTCGCTCGTGGTTACAGCTGTGGGCACCGTCGTAGGAGGTACTTCGTTACTGACCAAGGCCGCGACAGATATCGCTGAGGTGGTGATTAACAGCAAAAAGATGAAAAAGGCGCAGGAAGCACTGCAAAACTACAAAGAATCTTTCAGTGCAGCCTCAAAATCTATATCCAAACTAAAGAATTTTGTAGCAGATAATAAATTGGACACCCAAAACCTGGTGCATAATTTACTTGCTAGAGCTGGCCAGCTGTTAAAACACCCAGTTTCGTTATTGGCTCTTCGCGTAGTTCCTTCCTCTGTGATGGCAGGTCGCAGTGCGGTGATAACCATCAAGGAGGCCGTTTGTAAAGGATCCATGTCGGTGTCAGAAGCCGGAGGACCCTTGATTAAAACATTAACCACTGCACAGAAAATAGGTAAAGTGGCCGGGGCAACAGGTGCGGTTGTGGGCATAGCTTTTGATTTGAAGGACCTGATTGAAACGTCTATAAAACTGCACAAAAAGAAACATTCAGAGGTAGCGTGCCAACTACATGCCAAGGCAAAGAGTTTGGAAACTTCTTATTCGGCGTAAAAATAAAACCAGCGGAGTGATGAAAAGTAATTGAAAACGTTTGAACAAGAGAAAAGTTATAAAAACCAAAAAGGCCTACATTACCTGTTAATAATTGCCAATGAGCATATTTATTCGCTCTCGAAAAATATACCGTCCCCATAGATAACAGCTTTATTTGTAATATTTGTCATAGTATAACTTATGCAAACATTTATAATTTTGACAGTTATGCACTTTATTGATAATGCATGAATTTATATATTGTTTATGATATTTTATGCATTCAATATAATAAGCCTATGACACGTTTTTTTCACTGAAACTAGTGAGACAATAATAACAGCCTCTCATGAAAATGCACTTCATTCATTTATTTATCACTTTAAAACTGTTAAACATACATCTTAAAGGAAATTGTAACATGTATTGACATTTTTCTTAAAGATTCTTAGATCTCCCCTTTTGAAGATTGACAATTTAATAGTAAAGTGTGCTTAGGCATTTACAGACAGAAGTGCAGTTGCTGAGGGCAAGGGAGATTGCCTTCAAATATTTTTGATATATCACAGTTTACAAGTGCAATTAAGAGAAATTTTCGCATATTGAGAATTTTATATTTAATTCTGTGGTTACCTGTTGTACCAGTACCTATAATAAAAATGGATGTTAAGAAAACGATATTTTGTAGTTTGTCTTGCTAATGAGAAATTTGACAATGCTCGATTGCTTGGCTGTTGTTTATCCGAGGTCTTCTATCTGTTACAAAAGCGTATATAAGTCTTGGCTATGTTTTATAAATATTTTGAAAAATTAAGATAATGGCTTGATGTTTAGTGATTGGAAACAAAATATTGGAGACACGTGTGACCCCTACCAGCAAGCTGGCGCGTGCAACACTTCAATCTATAAAAGCTACCTTAAGATTAAACCCACTTCTTGGTCGTTGTGTCAACCTTACTGAATACCCATGAGAACCCCTATAAACTTTGTTGATTATCGTAGTACACGTGGGAAAATTTTCTTCTCTTACGAAGAATAACACCTGCATATTATATCAATTTGACCCATACATGAACTACTGTGCAATCGCGTAGATAGCCCATTGCCTCAAAAACACCTGTAACAAGTCAACCACTTCTTGGCTTTGTGCTTTAACCAGAAAGATGAGGGTCTTGCTTTTTGGGTTGCTCTCTTCATTGTGTGTCCTGGTATCTAGCCAGGATGTTAACATGCTCCTTAAAGAGATAGATCAGCTGCGTTTCCAGCTTAAGAAGGCACAATCCTCATTAACAAAGCTGCAGAATAAGTGTATGGCTGGTCAAGGTTTGTACAGCAATTTTTTTTAGATATTTTAGCCAATGTTTTATGCTACAAAGGACAAATTTCAATTTCACATTTTACTATAAAGAGTAAAGTAAACGGGCTCGTTGAGATCGTTATGAACACAGTAAAAAGATAAAACTCCCAAGATACAAGTCCCAAAACCTACCAACTTACTACATTGATCTCCTTAGCAATTCCCTCGGACTTCGTGCAATTTGGACAGTCTTCCTACAAACTGGTGACAAACCCGAAGCTGGCGTACAAGCCTGCGGAGGATTACTGCAGAACGCTGCACCCTCGGGCTCACCTCGTCACTATCGAGTCCAAGGAAGAGAACCAGTTTTTGCGCGACCTCATGGTTAATGGTGAGAGAAATTAGAAAGCTTTCCTAACCAATAAATATAATACGCAGTTGTTGTGGTATTTCGGTCATTGTTTTTACATCTTAGTGTGAAATTTTCTCAGCAAGAAAAGTTATTTAGCTGCTTTCGAGAAATTTAAGTAGTTTGTTCCTAGAATTTTGTCGATGCTTTAATTTATTCAAAGTGTAATGTTATGAGAATACATATATGTTTAAATTTCCAAGAAGGGCCCATATTTGTTTTTACATTCAGGGCAAACAGTTGATCACGACTACTTCTGTCGCTTCAAATAAGGCTAGCGCATATGTTCTGGTAACAAAATTAAGAAACGGAAACTCTTTCTCGTATTGCTCTCGGGTTCGGCCACAAAGATCATAGTTTAACCTGTATAATATCTCTCATTTTATCTATTCTTTAACCAGACCATGGCACTTACTTCGCCCTCATCGGAGGAAACGATCTTGCCCAGGAGGGCGATTGGCGCTGGATATCCACAGGGAAACCCATGCAGTACACTAACTGGACGCCAGGCATGCCCGACAACAGCGGCAACTACGAACACTGCGTCACCATGCTGGACAGTGGGAAGTGGAACGATCTGGGTTGTGATTACGTTGAAGATGGTTTCTTTTGTGAGATCGATCCTGATCTCTCAACTGAGAGTATCTTGGGCTAGGAACATTTTGCAACTCGCGATCGTATAGACCCTTGAATATCATGCTCAGTATTTTTGGCTGGCTGGCCTCTAGACTTCGTTCAAGTCTGGTACATGTACCTTGTTACATCTAAGATCTAATAAACGGAATATTAGATCTTAGGTTACATGTATCTACCTAAGATGGTAGGGATTAGCATGTACATTTCTCGTCTTTTATTGAATCAAATCTACATAGTTCCTTTTGGGATGTAATAGTCATATTGAAAGTTAACTCGACGAACTTTCATAAACTCAAGGACCAAAACTGAATAAAAATATCAGATTTCAGCATCGCTTGAATGTAGTTTTTCAACAATTTTATAAGAATTTACTAAGAACTGTTGTGAGGAACTAGAGACTGCACATTTTACAACGACAAAAAGTGACAACAACACGCAAATACTGCACACATTTTAATCCGTAAACAAACAAGAAAAAGCAGCTTTTCTTTTAGTTAAAGCCTGCATTGGTGTTAAATTTCATGATTTAGTTAATACATCAGTACACAGGGGTTTCAGTAAATCAGCTTATCATCAGATTTAAGGAATGATAAAGAGGTTTGCAGTCCCTCCCTCTCTCAAATGTCTTCTCCAGTCAATGGCAATGAGTTTTTCAAATAAAGTTTAAACTGTAAACTAATCATTGACCTCTTTATGAAGACAAGGTTCATATGATGTAATTGTAGATAACATAACTTAAACATATGATAACGTTACTCTAATTCATAAATCATTTTGAATAATATGCAGACATGTAACCAATAATATGAAAGTTTGATATTGATATTGGTTTGATATATATTGATATAACAGTACATATATATTTTGAATAATAAGAAGATGTGAAACCACTGATATATATATATATAATAAATCATTTTGAATGATATTAAGATAGGAAACCAATAGCATATAAGCTAATCATAAGATATAAGGAATGAAAAGAGGTTTGCAATCCTTATCACCAATGTGTTCTTCAGTCAAAGGCTATGATATTTCAAATAAAGTTTAATCTGTAAACCATTCTTTGACCTCAATAAGAAGACGAGGTTCATATAATGTTATTATAGATAACATAACTAAAGCCTTGATTATCTTCTCTTTGGTTTGATTTCATAAATTATTCAGAGTAATATGCAGATATGTAACCTATGATATATCATGTATAATTATGTAGCAATATATAAATAAGAATTACAAACATGCATGATTTGCATAAATATGTTTAGAGAAATTATCAATTCCATACCTAATCTTTCTTTGGCTATTATCTAATAACATTGAAAAACAATGCATTAGTACTTCATCAATATTATATTATATTTGTGTGATTTCAATTTGTACCATAACCCACAGTTTTTCAAAGTAAGATAAGAACTTATTGGCCAATATTCCAAACTCAAAAATACAGATTAATTGTACAATCAATTATACAGATCCAATATTGTATTTTGAGCACCAAGCAGTACTCCATAACTTCAAAATGGTAATTTAAGTGTTAGTCATGTTATATTCCCATTATAACACATTCAATACTTAAAATGCAATATTGCACTTTTTAGTCTTTATGATCATACGGTTTATTTGTATCACTTTCTCTCCTAAGCAGTTCAATACACTAAGATTTTCCCTTCTACGATTTACCAGTATCACTTTCCCTCCTAAGGAGTTCGATACGCTAAGATTTTCCCTTATCTACTTAGAAAATGCAGAAATAAAAAGGTTCATGTTATGAGAAAATACCATCATATCTCAAATATATCAGGGTGAATTTGTTAATCCAAGCTTATTACTTATCAGCAGCATTTTGGGGGTAAAACTGTTATATGTATCCACTTCAAACACACTTCTCTCACCTGATCAGCTATCAGACATTGTTCTAATGCCTATTTCATCACAACAATAAGTACTACAATCTGGTACCAGGAACTATTTTGAAAGGCTTATTTCTGATAATATCATTACAGTGTCAAGTTAATGCCTTAGTTTAATGAAACATCTTAATTAGAAGTTCATATCTCTTATAATAAAATTATATAAACCCCAAATGATGGACCAGAATTGTAGTGCACATCCTGGTCATCAACTATGCCAATATCTATTATAATACCTTAGTTATATCAGCAACCCATCCTTATCTCACACCATTAACAATGCCAATATCTATTATAATACCTTAGTTATATCAGCAACCCATCCTTATCTCACACCATTAACAATGCAGATATATCAACAATAAACACTTCACCACCATGTACGCTGAATGGGTGGGAGGTAACTGTAGTCACAAGAAAAAAAAAAAAGGGAGATTTTACTCTTATGTGTTTTAATCTTTTAATTTCCTAATACTAAGTATTTTATATTAAAGAAATTGGGAAAGGGCTATTTTGCCAAATGTAGACATTTTAATGTATCGAACCCCTCAAATCAAACTGTCTAGGTATTTACAAAAAACATTTGGTAATGAAACATGGTTAACAAAAGCTTAGCATAATACCAATAAAAGCAAGCAATAGCATGAATAAAGTCATATTTGAAAGCACACTTAAATATGGAAATACCCCCGTAATCACACTATGAGGCTAGAAGAAGTGTATACTAGTATCTCACATTAAATCGTTTTAAATTTTAATTTTTGGCTCTTGGCACATAAATTTTTGAAAAGGATAAATGAGGTGAAATTAAAGCTGGATATCTTTCTAATTTGACACAAACTTTTCAAGATTTGAAATAACTGGATATATGATAGTCACTAGCACATAGCATTTGTCCTTGATAGTCCACAAAAAGCAAAAAAAAAAAAAAAAAAAATCTTTTAAGACTTCTGCACTCCAATGAAAAATGCATGCACATTTAAAATTGGCTTTCAGGATTGGTCATCATTTTGAGAGTTTCTTTCCAAATATGATCGCAGTGTTTGACTTGAAAGTTTTCTGGGAACCCATCCTCCTGCACCAAAGATGGAATTTCGGGTCCATCTTTGCTGTCTATATAGGAATAGAGCTGGTGACCTAACCTGATTAGAGATGAAACCAAGACAAGATTAGTGACAAACTGTCTGACATTTCTTTATCTTCTACACAAATACAAGCATCTTATTTTAGATCTACATACTAAAGGGCAAAATATAAATGAACTGATTATAAACTTATCAGGCAGCAAGTCAAAAAGTTCATAATTTATAACCGCTTTTAATCAAGAAAAATGTGTTATTAAACTGATACCTTTACTAACACTGTTATATTCTTTGAGACAAGTTGATTGATAGTAAAATACAAACACTACATAAGTCTACCCAACTCTCATAAAAACATTTTAAAATGAATGCCCCTGTTACCTGTCATCAGCAATTTCTACAGCATCTTCATCCATGGCCACTTCTCTCTTGTCACACACATACAGCACAATGAATTCAAACAACTCACAGAGAAAAGTTTCAGTATTCAAGTGTTTTAAGGCCTCTTTCAAAGGAACCACTTGTTCGGGGCTCAACTTTTCTCTGTAGCGATTGTCCAGGGTATGGAAAGAGTCCTAGAAGAGTTCAAAGGTAAATTGCATGTTACAAAAAAAAAAAAAAAAAAAAAAAAAAGAAAAGATGAAAATGACTTCTGAGTCAAATCCTTTCCAATCAGAAAACAGCCATAGCCTTGTGTTTAAATATAAGTTATGATAATCTTTATCAAGCTTTAGATTACTTTACACTATTCAGGTCAAAATTGCAGAAAGAAAAAAGTGGGACTAGCAACCAGGAAGTAATGGTGGATGTAAATTTCAATTTCAGTGATTTCATTGGGTACTGCTGTAGAGAAGGACCTACCTGTTTCCTCTTAGTTGAATGTTTGGCCTGTTCATAAGCAAGAACCAGCCACAGTGACTTTACATGGCTCAGGCTACAGTGCTGTCTTGCCTAAAGATGGTTAAAATACCATGAAACTTTGATCCAATAACTATAATACAGCTTTGTGTATCATAAGTGAAAATGTAAATTTTATAACTAATGAATCAAAAATAATTTTTAAGAGGAAAATAAGTCATCTATAAAAACTTATAGGATAAAATGGGAATTTACATGTAAAATCGCTAAATACTACAAAACTGTACCTTTGCACTTTTCAATCCAGTCTCTAAGCTTAAAGTATTTTGCATGAATTCTGCAATTTTTGACCCAGGTTCTCCACCAACTGTTACCAGGAATTCTGCACTCAGATCCAAAGCCACCAGAGAATCTGAGATATCCTGGAAGTCTCGTAGCTCACTAACTATCTGGTGCTTAACTTGGTGGGACAATGGTTCCTGCAATTAGAATGGTTCACATTGAAAAAAATTACGACTGCAATTAGAATTTGCTTTTAATACTTTCTGCACAGTTTACATGATATAAGCAGATATCTTTCTAGGGTTAAAACCTGTAAATTGTAATTGATACAGAGTAATATTTTCTTTGTGAATATTGGATATAATATAATTTTATGTCAAAGAAAAAGCACCTACTTCTGATGAAAATTCCCAAGGCACCTCTGCACAAAAGCCTTACCTGAGGTATCTTCTCTTCCAAGTCTCTGAAGAGTCTAGCATGTGTTGTATCTTCTCTGAAAGTTATGGTGTCCAACTGAAAAGGAGCAAAAGTCCTCTAATTTTTTTCTCTTTATTTCTTTTCAGTGTGAACAAAATATATGGTTTTACATATCAATTTTTCACACACTAAAAGAATTAGAATAATTTAGACAATCTTTTCATGGAATATTTCACCATATTGCTAAACATCAATAACAACAAAAGGTCAAAAATGGCATATCTGTATACCTGTCCACCAAGCCTGACTTTCCCTTTTAAAAAACGCTCCTCAATTTGTTTTCCCAGTGCATTGTAATCATACTGCAGTTCTGATTCTTGCCGTGTGGACCCAGCTGATGTTGGTGATATTTTATATGAATAGTTGCAGCTAGCCAGGATGAGAGGCATCAAGTCGTGCTCAGGGTGGTAGGAGATTAGGTGTGACACAATCAGGTCTTTTGGTTGGACAACATCTTCAGGTATGGCACTAGTAATATATACAGTATATGCACAACTTAAGATGTTATCTTTTTTCTGTACTTGCTTAATCCATGACCATTCAGTTACATTTGTTGCGTTAAGTTGGGACATAAATACTCTTCTCCAACTTCCTCTGGTTACTATTACAATACTGCATGTTGCAGGATAATTTTCCTTTGAGACAAATTCTCTCCATACTATACAGTCCATATGAATGAAAAGATTGAAATTTATGAAAGTATTTGAATCACCAAGAACACTTGCATCTTACATGTACCGTATAGCTAAAAAAAAACACGACTATTGGTACGCGTATGATCGATAACTGATTTAATTCTCGTAAGATTACCATCCGCCCCCTTCCTTATGAATAGGTATTACTTTATTAATACAATNCGGCAGCAGTGCCTACTGCTGTGAGCAACATGCGCTGTCCATCGTAATCCCCCTATCATTAACACTGTCGGGGACGTGCGCATTAGCGCGTCTGATGTAGACAGCGTGTGCTATTAAAGTGACCGGGGACTTATTAGCTATAGTGTATTTTAAGGCTCAGAGAGGTGGAGAAAAGAACATATGAGTTGAAGGTAATTTATCTCTAAAAATATAAATAAATAAACTTCAAAACAAAACAAAACAAGCCTGGAATATTATACCACCCCCTTACTTTTTTCTGTATTTCCAGTAGTGTTCTTCCAGGAAGTCATTCTGTAGGTTGATAAGATGGCGCACTAGGGCCAGGGAGCACACACCATGACCACGAGAGTTTGGAAGAAGTATGGACAGAGGAGTACTGCCTTCAATCTGCATTCTACATTGCTCTTTAGGTACTCTTAGTATACCATTGGCAACTTTAACTCCTGAAAGTTTATCAAAACACTTTGAAAAAAAAAATACAGTAAGGCAAATATACAGACAATTTACAGAGAAAGACTCATTCCTGTTGGTCAATTTTAAAATAACATTTTAATCAACATGTTATACATAATTAAATTATCCACTTTTGCAATGGTTATAATGATTGCCTTCCTGGCTGTTTCTGAGTTTGCTATTTTACACATTGCTGAGTTCTCAATTTAAACCATCTTTATGGTTAATGTTTGTTTCACACCTGCAACCATGATAATAAAATAAGTCACAAAATTGGGAAGGTCACTTCCAATAGAAGAATAAGATATAATACAATTCTAACATGTAACACCACCTTGCATAGCACAATATATTGGTTAAAAGAAATGGTGAACATTAACCAATTATCATGCTATCAATGTACTATAGAGTCTACTAACAAATATTAAATAAAAAAAAACTCACATCTGAAAACAAAAAATACAACAACTTTGATCCGTTGAATACATGCAGGCATTTACAGTGTGTGTAATGAGATACTAATGACTAGGCTAATTTAAAGGAGAAATCATTATTCCAAGGAAAAAGCCCTTATTTCTTCATCTTAAAGTTCAAAACAAAAAAGTACAACAAGACTGCATAAATTTTGAAACTATTTTGTGGAAAATTCTGGCATATTCTTAATATTATATGTGTTAAATCTACCTTTTGCTGCAATTTCTTCTCTAACTGTATACCAAACCTCTTTGAAGCATTTAATCAAGGTTTGCATCTCCATCTTTTCTGGTCCTGTAAAATATCAACATCTTTGCCATCACTGAGATTAAGGCATTCTGTAAACAAATTTAGAAGGTAGATGTCATAATTTTTTTTAAAGATATACCTTAACAACTAATAGTAAAAGAAATGACTCAAAGGTCCTTACCCTCTACCATCTTTTCAAGCATCTCTTTAATTGTGATACTCATTGCCTCATTCTTGTTAACACGTCTTTGGTGACCCTGTGAAAGCAGTCGCTGTAGCTTGAGTATGCTGGGAAGGTGGCGCAGCATCCTAAGAGAGTGCTCCTACAATATGCCATAAACAATATAAACTTCCTATTTAATAATTATAACCTGTGAGTGAAATAATGCTTCTAAAAGTTTACAGTTTCAGGAACAATTGAATTGCTGTTTAGTGCAAGTGCTTGTTTGTTACAGACACACTAACTATAAGGGCGCATTCCCATAGATTTTAGATCGATCTATCCCCGTGGGGAGTCTCACTAGATTACTATCAGATAATCTGGCTGAAATGTCCGTCACACCTACTACAAGCTATAAGGGGGTAAGTAACTTTCGTGCCCGCTCAGCTGACAGCTATTTAGCGTGAACCCCCAGGGAGTTAGGTCGATCTTGTTGGATCAATCTAATCTCTGGGAATGGGGTCTAAGAGCATATGCATGCTGTACCTTCTGTAAGAATGCCTGAAGTATGAGCAGCTGGTGTGGTTTCTGTCCTCTTCTACTTGTCATGAATTCACTTAACTCCTGTGTGACATTATTAATGGTGATTCGGGAACGGAACCTCCAAACTTCAGGTTCCTCTGCCAGCTTGTCAACCTGCAGGACATCTCTACCTGTCTCAACTCTCTCTGTCTCATACACTAGCTTTATCAATGGATTGTTACCTACAAATTTGAGCAGACACGCATGTATTTTTTATTATCTGTAGAAGTGACATACAAAGAAAAAAAAAACAGTTTTCAGTTGCTCTCATGCATTTACTTGCATGACTGGCATCATATCAACCTGACCACACTTTCAGTCAGGTAAGACTTAACAAAGCATTTTCAATATATGTCAAATTTACAAAATGTTTGTACATTAAATGTGAGTGAAAAGATGCCTCTGAATATAAGGAAAGGGTTTGCTTTCCTGCAATATCAAGTAATTCTCTCACCCAGTCTTTCGTCTTTGGCCATGTACTGGTTCGCATTGTTCAATTTATTTTCTAGACCCTAAAATAAAATAATCTATGTTTAAGTCTTTTCTATTCAATCACTTAAATATTCTTTTTGCTTTCTAGTTTATCTAGTACTATAAACATGGAGCTGTTATGCACTGTTTATAAATGATACAAGAGTCTCTTACACTGACAATAGGGGTGATAAAGACTCTAGCAAATTCTGCCTCCCAAGTTTGTCTGGACTGTTTGTTTCCCCATCCACTAGATCTATCAGCTAAAAATATACAAATAAAGTTACAAAAACATAAATACCAATTTTATTTTGTGCATGTGCAACAATCTTGTTAGACTAGAGTACCTGCATGACTTTTCATATAAACACATTGCCTTCCAGGAATTATATCATAACTTATCATTAATGATTATATGTTCAAAGAAAAGGAGAGAAAGTCGAGCATTCAGTGGCTTTTACATACAGCAAGTAAATTGGCAAATTCTTCCAAATGCAGTATACACAAAATCAATTTCCTTGAATCTGTTTTCAAGGACTATGGTCCTGGGTCCTACCTGATGTCTCAGTTAACAAAATGTTCTGGATGATCATGTGCATCATCAGTACACAGTCTTCTGGGCTCTTGTGAATGGTCCTGCTCAGAGTTTGTATATCCACCTGCATGTGCTGCCACAGAAAGGTATTCACTCCATTTGCAAGGTTTACACCTTGGATTAAACTCGCAACTCCCTGCAATGATGTTAAAATGTGAGAACAGAATGTGAGAGAATTGTGTAAATTTGTATAATTGCTGTGTGAACAGATTTCTTATATAAGTATATGGTTAGAATATATAATTTAGATATTGAGATGTAAATTTCCCTAACTGCTAATTTTAAATTAAAATTGTGACAAATCTTATTAAGTTATAAGATATTTTTGTGCTTCAACTAAATACATTCAGACATTAGCCGTAAACATACAATTATTCCTTGCAAAGTAATGTGTATCCACAGTCCATATGTTCAGTTTAGTATGTATGGTATACATACCGTACTAGGATTAAGAATGTGTACATTTACCCCGTGGACCATTTGAAGATTACACTGAGATTAATGCGGTGGAAAATACAATAGGGAGAGTGTATAATGATAGGGTCGCTAAACGATTGTTGACGGCATATAGTAACTAACCTAATCCCCTGGTCGCCTGGGTAGCCACGCCCCCTTAGAGTACTTATGTAAACAAACGGTCTCCCGTAGCGAACTATCCTTTTGTTCAACAGCTTCACGCGTGCAGCTGATTATGTATGTAGTGACACTATAGCTAACTGCATATAAATTTGTGCTAGCTGTTATTTGATTCATTCTGCTGTGTCGGATGTTGTGGATCAGCCCACTGGTTCGTTGACTTATGTTTTTCTGAAGATTGGTGGTGCAGATTTTGAGTGCTTAATTATTTACCCTCCTTCTAACAAGAGAAAGGGGAAGGGAAATAAAAAGAGAGTGTCAAATGAAACGGGTAATGAGTAATACATTACATTAAATAAAGGGACTCGCGGTGGAAGAAACGATAGACTGTTTTGCATCAAGGTATGCCATTATAATCCGACATGACCCATAACATGATCCATAACATGACTCATTGTTGTATGCCTTATATTTGTGCCGACTAATATTTTACTCTCGTTCATTTCGTGAAACTATTTCCTTAAAATAAAGTTTTGCCTGTATAAATTAACTTTGTGACATGAAGTAATTAATAAAACGCGCCTGTTGAAAAGGGGGCTTTTTGTAACTAATAAAGTTTCACTATTCAGAAAAATATCGTCGCCGTTCGTCGCCGCTACCTTCAGGAAAGCGTACCCTCCGCGTGGATCACCGGCATTTTTGATTATCTGACAAATTAGGGCAATTTACGTTTTCGCTAATAATTCTGAATTTACTAACATTTTGGACTAAATTCGATGTCAGATTCATAGCAATGACGGAGAGCCGTCAGAGTAACGTACTGTTTAATTTTCTAAACTAATCAAACTAGAACGCGTGGCGATAAAATGTGTCGCTAGATAATCAACACTCAGCGAAATGCACCTAGTGACTATATTCAATGTGCCGTCACTTAAAATGTGTCGCTAGATCTTGTAAACACTCAGCGAAATGCACCTAGTGACTATATTCAATGTGCCGTCACTTAATTGCTTTCTCGATTTCATTAATTGACGATAGTAATTGCAGATAACAAGGAAGAGTCGAGGAAATGCTGAAGACAAAACAACGTCGGGTCTTTGTGTGACTTTCTCCCTAAACACTTTTTATGTTGCTGTCAAAGAAAAAGGAGACTAGATAGCGATTATTTAAACCACTGCTGCTGCTTTTGCAGGTAGACTTCCTCGTTTATCATTTAAAGGCTCCCCTCCCCCAGCAGACCCAACTTGATGCATGTACGTCTTGGTAGCTATAGTACAGATCTTGGTTCAAGTAATGAAAGGTTTAACCCTCATCCACAAGGAAATGGAACCCTACGTAAACCCTGAAACCGGGCCTCAGAGGCCCGGTGTACCATGAAAATCTGACTCCCCCCAAAAAACATTCAAAAATCTAATTTAATTTGAGTAAATGACTATGATCTTGTAGTANGAAAGTAATGAAAGGTTTAAGCACAAAACGATAATTTGAGGCTATTTTTTCATTCAAGACAAAATAAAGTATCTATGGTGTGTGACAATAGGGACTTTACAAAGCTTAATTTGTCCTTAAATATATATTCCAGTAGCATAGGCGAGCGACGTACAGGGGTATATATATATATTAAACATATATATAATAAAGCAGTCATTTATTGACGCTCTATCCATAAAATTTTCTCCAAGTGGGCTTCTCAATATCGCTGACTAATCTATTTCTATTTAGGCACTTCAAATGCAAAATGAAGGACATACAGTGATCTATTGTGTTCAGCACCCAGAAAACAAGGTTACACATTTATATCGGCAACACCGTTGTTCTCTGCTTGAGTTTGCCAATGTTTCGCCTAACAAGAAGCAAAGAAGGGAAACGCCACGATGCTTATGAAATTCATTCCTTTTCATATTTCAATAGACGGTTAAATTCAGTCAAGTTTTTGTAACGAACATACCTAGTTGTTGATCACCCTGTGAACCTCACTTTCTTATTAACTGGCAAGACATAAACGTCCTGTCAGTAAATAAGTAATAATTAACTCAAATTAATCACAATTAGTTGTCACTCAGAGGATAGCACCAAGTGTACGGCAGCATTTACCCTCTTATCAATGACACGAGAACTAAATCTTACAATCATATGGCCGTTATGTCTAGCAATTATCTCTATGTAAATTCCACTACTGGCTGATTGATCAAAACAAACAAAATATATTCAATTTTTGAAAAATGTCATGACCAGGTGCTGGAAAAACACACGTGTAAAACTTGATAATAGATTTAAAGTCATCCACAAACTGTAGGATAACAGAGTTATTTGTGATTATGTCAGGGGCTTTACAATGTAGAAAAGTCACGCCCCTGTGACTTTATCATTGATGTCTGGTCAGATGTTAAACCCTGCGAATATTTGTCTCATTAACGTTCACTTACGGTTCTCAATCTATGCTAGGACATTTTTTACAGTTCTAATGGTGTTCCTGAATGAAGATCAAAAACTAGGTAAGCATAGCCTTCCAGTATTATCATTTGACAGTATATGATCATTTGAGGCGGTTGTTCCATTAATTATACCAAGTTAGTTTCCTGAAATAAGAGAAAATGAATAATTATAAAATCCATCCCAAATCTATTTTCAATACTAGTAACCGGGCTTATGTGATTGTTATTGTTGTTATTGTTCTAACTTGTATATGTCAAAGACCCGGACCAAATCTAGTCCCATGCATAAAAAGCCCAGACCCTATGTTTATTACGCCCTGGCTGGACCCATTCTTAATGGTGTCTTTGCATTGTTAACAGCATAATGAGCAAGTTAAATGACCAAGTTAATTGACCAAGTTAATTGGCCAAGCTGCCAGTTTGTTTGTATGACAAGTGCAGGATATGTCTTAGGGCGTAATAAACATAGTGTCTGGGCTTTTTATGCATAGGACTAGATTTGATCCGGGCCTTTGACATATATACAGTATGTTTTTACTGTAAATCTCGGTTATCTTTACAAAACCCTCTATTTTTCTTACTTATTTTTTTATTATTTTTATACCTTAATTACTAATATAATGAAGGACATGGGGAAGATAAATGTAAAATTTAACGTGTTTTTCCTTAATAGAAAACATTTTATAAATAGATAAATGAACCCCCCCCCCACCTTATGGGTCACTATTATCCCCAGGAGCGGATTCAGAGATATTTTCTGACAGTATTTCAAATAATCTTTGTTGAACCATCTTCCATTTCAGATTGTCTTCCAACAGAAAAAAATAGATACCCGTCAATGTTAACTGACCGGAAGACCCACAAGACGGTCTCAATCCGCCTCTGATCTCCGCCGTCTCCACTCGGCTGGGATATGCTGAATATGCTGGTGAGCTTCCAGTAACCCCCTTAACACAAGATGTAAGTGCGCTTTACCGGGTAATCAACCTTTAATCAAACTTAAGTGTCTCAAGAGCTGAGAGATAACTTATAGTGCGATGAATCAGACTGGGCCTGTGGTTATGAATTTGTATATGTTGAAATTGACACATGTCATTAAACATTCATTGCGTATATCGAATCGTAAAACGCCCGATAAAATACCTTATTGGTCCCGATTGTTTGTCCATATAAATGACGTCCCTTTGATATCAAAGCCAAGCTGTCCAGCTAGAGCGCACAGTCTAGCAAAACGCTCTAACGTGGACCCTACAGAAATCAAACATGCCAGCGTTTGTGATATTTGTGACAATATACTTTCTGTGGTGTCATCTGGAGCCACGGTGCAAAAGCTAGCAGTATTAAACACTGAATTTGGGTTGGCTATTTACAAGCAGTTGACCGCCGATACAGAGGTTAAAGACATATTTTCTCGCCTATTAACATCTCCACCGCTTTGGCCATGCTACAACTGGGCACTAACGGCACTTCTGAAGATCAGATAAACCGCGCGATGAAATTCGGCACACGCTGCGGCTTGAACGCTAAACTGCATAATGCAAGCAACAACTACACGTTGAAATCCGCCAACAGGTTCTTTGGGAGCAAACGTTTTCCATTTCGACAAACATTCCTTAGCGACATGCGAGACTATTTTAATGCAGTACCTGAGTCTGTGGATTTCATGGCAAATCCCGAAGGGTCTCGCGTGCATATCAATAAATGGGTGGGAAATCAGTCAAATGATAAAATCAAAGAACTTATGGCAAAGGGAACAATTACCAAAAGCACTGTCTTTGTTTTGGCCAATGCCATCTACTTCAAAGGACAGTGGAATATGCCATTTAACTACACCATGACATCTATCTTACCTTTCAGAAGCAAAGGGCAGGAGGTAGGTCTGCATAGGTTTTGGTTATTCATGCTAGTTTTCTTTTTTTTTAATGCTCACACGTCTAAAAAGAAAAAAAATCAATCATTTTGCATACATATAACCCCGTATTGCTTTTTACTTGAATATCTTTATTTTCTAGTATGACAGAGCCCTACTGTAGAACATTGTTTACACGACCGTCTCCGGTATTCGTTCTAATCTTCAG